GCATTGCCTCACTGCCTGATGTGGCAAGCAGAATGAAGGCAATTGGTGTTGGCATCAGAGCAACTAGTAGCCATCCAGTCCTAGCAAAATAAACCTTGCTGCATTAGCAAGACGCAGGTTAGTTTTTAATGCATCTGGTTTTTTTCTCATTCTCCAATTGATAAAAGCATTAGTTTTTTTAGATACATACTCACGCAGGAAATCTGGTGCAGCTGAGAGCAAACGGCCAAAGAAGGAGCATGAAGAATATAGTGTGACAAGAGAACTAGTCAGGGAACTGTATCCAAGTGATTGTGAAATCTGGCCAAGATTGTTGCTGTAGACCAACCCAATAGTTCCCCCACAAAAGTATGCAGCATAGTATAGCCAAAAATCCCACCGACGTACAAGCAGCCTAGCTGAGTGCTCTTCACCTAGCACTGTCAACCTATCTTTTTCCATCACCTTCCCAAAACATGCGAAACACCCAAAAAAGCGTTCCTTGTCTACCAGCCCATACGAATTGGAGTTCGTGGAATTTGTGGCATTTGTGGCCTTCGTGGCATTAGCATTTTCACTTACATCAATGAGTTCCTTATGAAGCTCAAAATCATCAGTGTCAACCAGATTGAAGGTTGACGAGTTTTCAGAATGTAGGCTTGAGGGGAAGTTCCTATGAGCCCACTCACGCGCGTATGCCATGCCGGGCAGACACAGAGGTAGGATTAGGAGACAAATCGCACCAACTAAGAGTATCCGAGCTCTTGACACATCAGAGGATAGTGAGTTAAGGAGGAGGAGATATAGACCTGTGACCACAGCTAGGATGTTTAGGCAAAGAAAAATCATGGAGTCATGACGAGTGGCCTCAGCAGGAAGTGATTGAACTTTGGGCTGACGGAGCACAGGGATGAGTGCTAAGCCGGATGTGAAGAGAGGAACTAGAGCATTAAGGAAGAGGTAGATGGTATCGTCGCTCGGGTTAATTGCATTGGCAGTGAGGGTGTAGAGGGCGGCACTTACCCCATTGAAACTGACTGTGAGAGACAACGCAAGTGCCCGGTTGGCTTGGAAGTGTCTGATGCATAGAACATAGCAGACTGTGTTGAACCAGCAGATGCTGCATCCAGCCAACAAGCATAGAAGGAATACCTGCCAAGCCAAAATACTTAACATTAATCATCTGGTTAGTTGTTTTTCGATCCTCAATCTTCCCTTGGTTTTTATTTTGTTCTCAATTGTTTTTTGCTACTTTTTCATTAATAGGTTCTTATGAAGTGATGATCACTTGTCCTAACTTGTATTGTGTCCTTATTCTTAATTCTTTGAAGCTTTTTGTCTTATTTATTCAAAGAAATAAACCTTGCTAGAGATTTGCAGCATAAGTAGTTAAGAGCGTTTATTCTTGCATTTGAAGCCATGTGTACTATTCAAATCAATATTGGTTCTTTGGAAAGATAAAAAAACACAAACCAACCTACCTTAGTTTAACAGAGTAAGAAGTTGATTTATGGAAGGTTAAGAGCGTTTATTCCTGCACCTGACGTCACATGTACTAATACTTCGTGACTGGGTATTTAGAAAAGAAACAAAAACAAACCTACCTAAGTTTAAGAAAACAAATAGTTTATTTATGAAAGGTTAATTTAGTGTATGGTAATTTTTTATTCTGTTTTTTATTTTTTACCACAGTAAATTAATTTTTTTACAGAGCTCAGTATTGTCTAGGTAAAGGTGGATGACTCCCATGCCCTCATAAACGAAGGGGATATTTGATATAAAATTATAAATCTCGGGAAAAGAAAATGGATTTACTCTAACATTATCCTTTTTTCTATCTATTTTTGGATCTTCGTCACTGACTTGTATGTTTCTGGTGTTAATATAATATTAGCTTTACTAATACATTAAATTTGTCCTTTTGAGAACTGACATATTTAGGTCCACACCCTTTTTATTTTCGTTTTTTGAATTACGATTGTATAATTATCAAGGACGGAAATTTTGGCATAGCCACACAATGCACCAATAAGAATAATGTGATGTTATACAAGCCATTAACGAGAATTAAATTTAGAACATCTCACTTTTAAGTAACGAAAAATATTACTAAATCGAAGTACTAGATGACCTACAACTTTTATTTTAATGGTATTTTTTTCTCTGTGCTGAAAAAAACCAAAACAAAAAAGAGAGGGAAAAAATTCATCATCTCCTGGTTTCTAGTTTTTTTGGGGGCTTAGGGTTTCTAGTTTATGCATCATTAAATGTTTTGGATTTTTCTTTTGAAAAGTGGTAGATGGAGTCCTAACCTACACATCAGCCTGATGCTTTTGTGGTTGTGGTAGTTATTGTGTGGAGCCGTGGAGGTTAGGAGTTCACCAATTTTAGGGCAAACTTCCCCTTGACTTTGCCAAGAAAATACAACAACTAAACAAGAAAAGAAAAACAAGAAAAAGAAAACCTACTCCAACAAAATTAGAAATGAAATATTAAACAAGGGTCGCGATTTTCACTCCCGTTTCTCTTCTTGAACTCGTTTTTATGTTTATATCCATAGATTCTTCGTTGATTTAAACAAAGAAAATGAAAATGCAAGAATCATAGAATTTCGATAAAAGAATTAAAAGAAAGAAAGATGAGAAGTGACTAACCATAACATAAGGCAGATAGATGAGTCTTTGAATGACAAACCATTGGAGGCCATAACCGAACAAACCCATGAAGGCAGCCATGAACATAACAACCCACAAGGGAAAATACATGAGAGAAACCCCGGAACACCAACCCAATGCCTTCCCCATATCCGAGGCCACCGATAGATAGTTGAGCTGCACCTGAGAAATCCCCAGCACAGATTTCAGGTCAGAAGAATAGGATGCGAAATCAAAGTTCGTCCCTGTGAACGCCTGTATCCATGTCGCCGCCACGAGTATCATCCATTTTCTCGATTGCCCAACCATTCTTTCTCGGACCCCGAAATCTTTGATTTCTAATTCAAATTGTTCTTTGAATCAGAAACCAAATCCGCATAAGACGTAGAAAAAACAAAATGGGTTTGTGGGGTTTGAGGGAGAAAGAAGGGGTTTTGGAGGTAGGTTTTGTTCTGGGTTAGGATTGGATTGGTTTGATGTTTTGTTATGGTGGTGTAACTATATTTGGCAACCGCTATGTTTGTACATGGTGGTGTTTGTTGGCGCCCTCTTTTTATATGCATCAGTTTCTGTTTGTACAATATATATATATATATACACACACACACACATATATATATATGTGCATGTGTGTGTATATGTATGTAAAGAATCAGATAATGCAGTAATATTTCTGTGAAAGGAAAGGGTTATTTGGATATTTGTTACGTGCTGGTGGGTGAAAATTGCTTGTGCGTTAAGATATTGATTTGTTGAGCCTTGTTTTGAGGAGTTTATATTATATGTAAAAGGTGGTTAGTAGTTCAAACTTGCAAGCATATTATTGCTGGACTCGGACTGGGAGCCTGGGATATTTATTAGTTAATTTAATGTGATTTTTGATCAAAAAGTCTTTGACTTTTGCTCGGGGAGTTTTTTCTTAGACCGTGTTGAAATTCTCGACAAGAATATTTACCAATATATCTTGTCAAATGATATGTTTTGTTAGATTAGATGTTAGATTAGTCATTGATGGGTTCGAACTCACGCCATCATGCAAGGATCCAATACCTGCCTTCCAAATTTGCTTAGGGATCTTAAACTCCTCTGTTTTATTGGTTATGGGCATCAATACATTCTAAAATGATTTATAAAGGATCTTATGGTTGAATTACTCCTTTTCCTTTTGAATTTATAAAGGGAAGCTTATGACCTGGATCGTTGGACTCAAGATTTTCAAGTATTTTGATGCAAGAATTTGATCTCCAACGTATGATACTCTTAACGCATCTGCCATCCAAGGCGAAAAGCCCGGTTTCGAAGTTCAAATGGTGGTATCCGATGAGCCACTGTACTGAACACTTGGAGGAATAATACCAAGAAGCAAAATGGCAAGATTTAGTTGTATTTCGTCGAATTTTCTATTATTTATTGATGTGGCACACATAAGGTTCTACAAGTCTAATTATGTGGTGACATATACCAACCGAATAGCCATCAAACTAAGTGTAGAGATGTGCGTCACTAAATAGGTGATAGAGCCATATATGATAATTAAAAATTGGCTTATTTGTACTAATGGTTCATGAACTTTACCTCTTGTTTAATTTTAGTCAATGAACTTTCATATTAGTTTCTTTAGTCCTCGAACTTAACATTGTGTTGTATCATTGATCATTTTCACTAACGCCTTTATTCCCGTTAAATTTAGGGGTATATTAGGGATTTCAATTTAAAAATTAAAAACAATAAAAGAAGCTAAAAAACAAATGAAAATTTATAAACTAATATCTAAAACTTAAAACAAAGAGCATTTTGAACTATAAAAATACAAAATGAAAATGGTTGGACTTTAACAATTTGTAAATATTAGGCAATGTGATTTCAAAGTTGGTAAGAGCTCAAACTGTGGCTAGACTTAAGCAAGTAACAAATCACATAATAAACTTCGAAAAAAAAAAAATCCTATGAATTTTCATACACACAAAAAAATAAAGAGATAAATTTTTTTTACGATCCTTTCCTATTCTCATTTTTAACAAAAAAATAGGCGGCATTAGCGAAAATAACCAATAGTATAACACATTATTAAGTTTGAAGACTAGAAAAACTAGTATAAGAGTTGAGGACTAAAATTAAATTAGGAGTAAAGTTTAGGAATCACTGCTACAACTAAGCTTTAAGATTTAGTATAACACGTTATTCATATACACATTTTTACATTTTATATGCCTTTGATAATTTTTATCAATTAAAATTCTTATATTCGTTTGATTCGACAATCGAAAATCGAAAATTAAGAATAGTGTGAGAACTAAAATCGGTTTGTGAAAAGCATTATGCTTTAATTGCAACGTTGAAAGAAATGTTAACATCCATCTCTTCGCCCTTCCCTCTTTGGCGTTGATTAGAGAAATTATATTAAAAAATAAAATTAAAAAATAATAAAAACAAGAGAAATCAGGACAAAAGAATCAAACACCACCTCAGTATAACCATTTGTCCTTCACGGAGACGACGACCAGCCGCAGCCGCAGCCGCCGGCGCTTCCGCAACCGCCCAATTGTACTGAATAACAATATTCTTCTTCTTCTTCTCTCCGCAGTCAGTCAGTCTCAGTAGCCCCTCTTCACTGGAAAGCTCGAAAGACAGGAAAAAGAGAAGATGGAGATAGAGTTGGAGCCGAGGGTGAAACCTCTGGAATACAAAGTCAAGGCAATGTCACGTGAGTCGCCGTCCCAGAAGGCCGGTCACGTGCTCGACGCCGACCTCCGCTCCCACTGGTCCACCGCCACCAACACCAAGGAGTGGATTCTTCTCGAACTCAACGTACCTCCTCTCCTTCTCCCTCCCCTTCAATTCTAACCCTAACCCTAATTTAAATTATTTAATATATTTTGTTGTTCACTTAATTTTGATTTAGTTTAAGTTAATTTTGATTTAGTTTAAGTTTTGTCTTCTGGGTTTTGGTAGGAACCTTGCTTGCTATCGCACATACGAATTTACAACAAGTCTGTGCTGGAATGGGAGATTTCTGTTGGCTTACGCTACAAGGTCAGTGTGCTGCTTGGTTTGTTGGTTTTGTGGCATGGTAAAGTTCACTTCTTTGTCTAATTTGACCTGTGACATTGTTTGGGGCTCAAGTTTTGTTTCATTGATATGCGCTTTAGCTATGTGATGTCTAATGTAAGCAGTGAGCAATTGCACATGAACTTCGCATCGATGGATTGATATGATTTAGGAATACTGGGAAGTGGGAACTACTGATAGAGCATTCGTAATCAGTTAGCATGTTTTTGGTGCATTCGGTGCCAAGTTGTTCGCTTCTGTCGCTCTTATTCTGTTTCATTTTTGAACAGCCAGAGACGTTTGTAAAAGTTCGCCCACGTTGTGAAGCACCACGACGCGACATGATATATCCAATGAACTATACTCCCTGCCGTTACGTGCGAATTTCTTGTTTGAGGGGAAATCCTATATCTATTTTCTTCATACAGGTATGATATGGGAATTATTTCTGCTACACTATTGGTTAAATCTCCCTTAGAAGATTAATAATCCCGATGAATTTGTTTTGCGATAAATTTCATTTTATCAAGCTCTGAGTTATTGCCCCCAATGCCACAACACCTCTTCTACAAAATAATGTCCATACCCAACCTTGGTACCGACCACTTTTAACCCATAAGACCAAATCAAATGGTTCTGGACAATAATACATCAAAATTCGATAGCTCCTGCACATAAATTTCTTTTGCTTGCGTACTCAGAACATAGAGAATTTCTCTCGTGGTTAGTTTCTTTTTAAAATTTGACTCCTTGTTCAATGCTATTGTGCAGCCGACCCCACTTAGTGGGATAAGGCTTCTTTGTTGTTGTTCTTCTTGTTGTTTTTGTTCAATGCTATTGTGCAGCCAACCCCACTTAGTGGGATAAGGCTTCTTTGTTGTTCTTCTTCTTGTTTTTGTTCAATGCTATTGTGATTCAACATGATTCTTTAGTAAAATATGTGTCTTCTTTTAATAAAAAGGCTTTGTACATGGAGAAATTTCACCTCAATCTCTTAAAAGTCCTATCTTTTCCACAGTTTTGAATATATATATATATATATATATATATATATTCGTGGATTTATTTCCTGCGTAAATCCCATAATTTGATTATCAATCACATCTTGCCTCAGACGTTTTGGCACTGAAATTTCTAATATTTCTACCTTTTCAGCTTATTGGGGTTTCAGTGGCTGGCCTGGAGCCAGAGTTTCAACCTGTGGTTAACCATCTGTTGCCATCTATTATATCTCACAAACAAGATACTCAGGATATGCATCTTCAGGTGGATCCAACTGTGCTATCTATAATGCTTACTGTCTACCATGTTCTTGTATTTTCAAATCTTTCTGTCTTCTGATGCCCACTAGTTTGTAGTTGCTTAAAGACATGACAAGTCGGTTGGTTGTGTTCCTTCCCCAACTTGAGGTATATACATGTTTTTCTCAAACTAGTATATATTTTCTTTTCCTTCTGCGTTAGTCCCTATTTTTCTTACTGTTTTTCCCCTTATCTTCTTTTTTTTTCTTCTCTTTTTTCTATTGCATTGATGGTCTTTTTTAATGCAATATTTTTTTTTTTTTTTATCCAAATTGTGCAGGCAGACCTTAACAGTTTTGTGGATTCTGCTGAATCTAACTTACGCTTTCTTGCTATGCTTGCTGGTCCTTTCTATCCAATACTTAATCTTGGGAATGAAAGGCATGTACCTCCTTAACATCTTTCACGCATGCTATTTCAAAGTTTGCATAGTCGTTATAGATGATGTGTATACTCTAGCTGTTATGGATCTTTCAATTCAATTGCTTGAATTTTTCTGAGCACAAAATGATTATTTAGAATGTTTTAACTTAAAAAAATTCCTTGGGTATGCTCTATCTAGAGCATTCACTTTTCATAAATTAATGTGTAGAAAGGTTCTTAAGGGATAATTTATGTTTGATAAGAAAAGGTTCATAAGGGACAATTGATTACATGTTTGAAAATTGGTTATTGGAAGTAGGCTTCCAAGTGGGCATTCTGTGTGAAGGTTGTTTTGGGCAGATAGGCTGGGATTTTATGGGCAAGAAGTGTAAGAAGTTTAGGTTTGTAAGTGTAAGGATATCAAATGATGTCATTAGAAGATTATTGTTTGGAGGTTTAACTGGTAACCAAAGGAATTTATTGGGTGCTGTTATTGTGCTAAAATTAAGCCTGCCAGTAGTAGTCCACTAGTGTAGTCCAAGAGCTTTTGTTTGAGATTTTTGGGTTGATACCCTGAACGAGAGGATTGGGGTTTGTTAATTATGATAAGTCTTAGAAAATGGCTTTGAAGGTCTAGCACTGAATTTGAAAGAGTTCCCCAAATAAGCGCATGTTGACGGCTTCTTGAATTTGCTATGCATGTATTAGTTCGTAAGGTTAAATGCTGCTCTAGCATTACCAGAGTGGAGATCTTTTTGCAGGTGAAATGCCAATCTTTCTTCATATGCTGGGACTACCTTGAGTTTGGTCCCTTAGTTCATGTAGTGGTCTAAACCTTTTATTATGTTAAGTTATCAACTTAACTCTTAAAGTGAGCTAACATTATTGGAAATCATGCATTACTTTACTCCCTCCAATAATGCATTTCTTTAATCCAAAGAATTAGCAGACCTCATAAGGTGCAATAACTAAGCACTTTACCCCTTTTTTCTGTTCCAATACCTAGTTAGGCATATGCTCATCATAATTGATTTACAATGGTGCAACAAGTCTTGTCTTACCATATGAGTCATCTAAAAGCTGCACTAAACCATTGCACATCAGTTGCCTATATCGACAAAGACCAGTTTTTGGAACTACGCATGTGAAACATGCCATTAAGTTTTCGGTTAGCCATAAATTTGTTTTTGTTCTATAAAGTTGGCCTTTCAGTCATCATTGCTCCTGTACATCTCTCATTTTTGCACGCTTTCCCATTTTGGTCTCTTAGCTATGCCAATGTACTAAAAGTTGCTTGTATTGATAATGTAGGACAGCTGCAAAGTCTTTGGGCAATATCTCAGATTCTGAAGTTTCTAAAAATAGCCAGCCGTCATCATCCCTAACTGTGTCTTCTAATTTTGAGGTTGCTTTTGTTTTTTTTCTTATGTCATTTTTCTCATTTCCTTTTTTGTTTGACTAGACATGCATAACTTAGTGGGATAAGGCTTTTTTTGTTGTTGTTTTAGACATGCATAACTATCCTCAAATGTTCCCCCTCTGGACTGTGGGAAGGGGTGGCATGCCTCTACATATTTGATTTGTTTGACTTACAACTTTATTGGAATCATTTCATATTTATATATTCATATGTATAGGTAATATTGAGTAAAGTTTTTTTAACTCTTGAGTTTTGTACTGTCCAAATACAGCGGACAAGAAAAAACAATATCTTGTGATTTTATGTGTTCCTTCATGTAAATTATACATAAAGTAACTCAATAATATGCTTTTACTTTTGTTTCATAAATTATGTTAAATAGGTTTTTAATATCTTAATCTCTTTTATAGAGTTATATTTTTACTTATTTTTATCACCGAATTTCTTGTTGTTCTTGATCCTTTTTTTCTTTCTGTTTCTTGCCATAGCCTGCTGCATTATATTCTGGAACTTCTCATTATTTGTTTTCTTAGATAACTGTATAAGCCCTCTTGCTCCTTTTATCATATGCAGCCACGGAGATCACGCAGCACTTTACCTTTTGTCCTATCGACATCCAGTTCTATAGTATTCAGGGCAGATGCAATTTTTCTGCTGTTGAGAAAGGCATATAAAGATTCTGATCTAGGAATCGTTTGCAGAATGGTAATGCATTGGTCTCTGCAGTTTTGCCTTTTGGTGGTCATTGACAAGCTTTCAATTTTACTACATCTGCTTTTCATCTCAGGCTGCAAGAATTTTACATAAGCTTATAGAGCCTGTTCCAGCACATGAAGGATCGGCATCTCCTCGTGAAGTGACATCTGAAGATGAAGCAGCAAAGTCTGAAATAACTAATCCTGCTCCTTTAGTTGATTACTCAAACTTGTTTGGGGAAGAATTCCAGTTGCCGGATGATCATTGGGACTCAAGCTCTCTTAACATCTTGGATATAGGAGCAGTGGAGGAAGGGATTTTACATGTTCTTTATGCGTGTGCGTCACAGGTTGATTACAGCATTTGGAACATAATAATCAATACGCATCTTCTGCTATTCTGATGTCTGATTTGTTTTGCTGCTATTTGGATCCATCTGCTTACAATTTAATCTGTGGTATTTTTCAGCCTCTTCTCTGCAGCAAATTAGCTGATAGGACTTCTGACTTCTGGTCTGCGTTACCGCTAGTTCAAGCGTTACTTCCAGGTTGATTATCACACCTAATCGCTCTTCCTTGCATTGTCATGTCATGTCAAATGTTTTGAAAGGCTCGCCTTAGGGCGTGCCTAGGCATCCTCTGAGGCTTGGCGTGAGGGTTGCCACCTCTGTTTTGAGGAAGTGGGTGGAAGGCGTCGCCGGAGCCTCCTAGGCGCGCTTCAGGGTTTTTTTTATTTTATTTTTTAATGTTTTTTTTCACTCCCAAACCCAAATTTTGGGTAGGTTTTAACTGCCTCATACCTCTTCCTTGCACTATCGTCTCTCGGCCTTTTTTTCTGTTTTTTATTTTTTTATATAATGGATGTGTGCGCTGTCTGTGTGCATTGTTATATGTGTGCTCATTGTGCTTTTCACCCTCTATTTATATATATATATATATATAATATAATATATGTATATATATGCGTGTATATATATTTATAATATATGTGTGTGCTCAGGGTGATTATTGATTAATAATCTTCTTTTTTTTAATATAATATATGTGTACGCACAGTGTATATATTAAAAAATTTAGGTCCCATGACACCTAGGCCGGGCTATCCCTCGGACGCCTCACCCACGCCTCACGCTTTTAATACATTGCTGTCATACAGAAGTTCTTAAAATTTATTGTTCCACTCTCATCCTTAAAATTTGGTTGATGGTGGTTTAAGTTTGGTTGTAATGTTTTTTGGGCAAAAAGTTAAATTGTAATTTCTGTTTTGTACTTTGGCTGTTTTAACTTTATAGTTTGAAAAGTTAATTCGGACTTAAATTGAGAATGTAAAAGGTATGGGACCAAATAGAAACAGTAGTCAATTGAAAAGTTGAACTGTATATGAAGTTATGAACATGATGTGATTCCTAACAGTATATTTGTTGTTTTTCATATAGCCAAAAGTTCAGCATATGTAAAATGTCATATCCATTATTTACTCAAATATATTGGAGCGTTTGATCAACTTGTTTCACATGTTCTTTGCATTTTACAGCACTTCGTCCCTCTGTTAGTCGACCTTCCGACATTGTTGATGACAGTTTCTCTCCATGGAAACAACCAATTGTGCAACAAGCCCTCTCTCAGGTTAACATTAATGTTAATGCAAATTATTCATTTCAGCTGGTATTTATGATTTTGGTTTTTTGTCTGTGTGATCATAATAAGTCTGATCATGGCGTTATTATTGCAGATTGTAGCAACATCGTCCTCATCATTATACCGTCCACTTCTTCATGCCTGTGCTGGCTATTTATCTTCATATTCACCATCACATGTTAGTTACTCTGTTCATTCTTATTATCCTGCTCAGAATACTATCCTCTCTTTATATGATATGTAAGAAATAAGAATGATATAATTTTTCTATACATTTAAGAAATGACCGTTGAGATGATTTCATCAACTACAATTTCGTTGATTGAATGACAGTCTTTTGATGCGGAAAAAGATGATATTGTTTTGTTCAAATTGTGTCAATGTTAAAAAAAATAATAATTTGAAGTTACGTGTGAGAATGTTAGATATTTCGTTGATACTTACTCTCATATTAGTACATAACCCATAAATATAAGTTCTAATATGCACAAACTAATACAATATAGTTTGAAGCATTATTTATCAACAAATCTATTGTTCTCATCTGGGAACAATCTGTGTTGACCTATTTTGTTTTGCAGGCTAAGGCTGCATGTGTTTTAATTGATCTGTGTTGTGGTGTGCTAGCACCTTGGCTAGGTCAAGTTGTTGCAAAGGTTTGTGAGAGGCAGATTTCTTTTGTGTAACTTTCTATAGTGTGGTTGAATTTTCCCTTCTTTTCAAACTTTTTCTCTTTGGTGTGAATTCTAAGCATCCAATTTTCACTTCAATACAGGTTGATCTGGCTGTAGAGCTTCTAGAGGACCTTTTGGGTGTAATTCAGGTATCCTTGTCAGTTATGTGAGCTGGAAATGTTAATGGTATAATGTTCTTATAAATCAAACTTTGTATAACTGCCAGTGCCAACTGGGCAGCTGTTAAAGTCTCTTTGTTTTTGTACATAGTTGGGATTAAATGGTTCCTGGTTTCAAAATTCAAATATATAATAGAACTTCATCCATGATAGAGTACTAGGTTTACATAACTACGAATGTTATTTACCTTTTGATAGCTAGCTTTTGTTTTCAATATGTAAAACACTGCTGTTGCTTTTGTTTTAGGGTGCTCGCCATTCTCTGCCTTGTGCTCGTGCTGCCTTAAAATACTTCATTCTGGCTCTCTCTGGTCATTTGGATGATATGCTAGGAAAGTATAAGGTATGGCAATGTGTTTTTGTTTTCTTTTCATCATGATTGGTGGTTTAAATTTGATCTGTTTGTGGAGTTAAAAGAATATTTCTAATAGCTTCTTTATGCTGTACTTTCAATGTTTTCAGGAAGTCAAGCACAGGATACTCTTTCTTGTGGAGATGCTAGAGCCTTTCCTTGATCCTGCTGTAGGCAGATTGAAGGGGAAAATAGCCTTTGGAGATCTATCTTCTGCATATCCAGAAAAGCAGGAAGAGAATTGTGTTATTGCCCTCAATGTTATTCGTACGGCAGTGCAGAAACCAGCAGTTCTCCCTTCGTTGGAATCTGAATGGAGGCGTGGAACAGTTGCTCCTAGGTAATAATACATGTGCCTGTCATAAGGTTTTTACTTTTTATTTTTTTATTTTTTTATTTTTTATTTTTTATTTTTACTTTTTATAATTACTTGGGTTAAATGGGACTGGGGGATATTTTTAATTTTTAACGCTATTATGACTTGTTGGCTTTACCTACCGAACTCTCATTTTAATTCGAATTCAGCTTGCCCAAATGTATATGAATTTCCATATGGATCTGAGGAAAAAAAATAACGGATCTTCTATTTATGGTTATCACAGTTCAAGCTTCTATTTACTGTTATCAGACCTCGAATATACAAGTTAATGTTATCCTGTTGTTTCATGCATATCACTTTTCATTTAGTGAAATCTTTAGTGTTTCAAATTAACATTATTGTTTTTTCCCCTGCAAATAAATTTTATTGCGATATATTGGTTTTGGTGATCGAAATACAATTCTTGATGCAGTGTGTTACTCTCGGTATTGGAACCTCACATGCAGTTACCTCCTGAAATCGATCTTCGTACATCTCCTGCCTCCAAACCACTGCAACCTGAATTTTCATCTAGTTTATCCCATTCTTCAGTTTCTCACCATGGGGTAGCATCTTCAAAATCAAACAGCCACGATGAATTTGATGGGAAGACAGATGTTTCTGATACAGCTGTAAAAATTGACATTTCTGAAGACGTCAATCTTCTTTTTTCTCCTCCAGAACTACACAACATTGTACTGACAAATATATCCAGTGGTCCCAATGAGAACAGCTCTGTCTCTAAGCATGGGGATGGTGGATCTGAACCAAAACATGTTGGGAAAAATTTTCCCCACCAGTTTCAAACTGACTTAAAACTAGATTCTGGTTTCTCAGCGGAATATTTCAACGTGCAGGCCGATTATTTTCAACTTATAAGCTATCAAGACTGCGAGCTCAGGGCTTCTGAATTCCGTCGTTTGGCCTTAGATTTGCATTCACAGAATGAGATTACTGTTGAGAGTCATGATGCTGCTATAGATGCTTTGCTCTTGGCAGCAGAGTGCTATGTCAATCCATTTTTTATGATGTCTTTCAGAGGCAGTCCAAAGTTAATGAAGGAAATAAACACTAATGGGACTAGGACTCCACAAAATCAAGAAATGGGGGTGCAAATGCTCGCTGAAAAGTCTAAGAGTGAATTAGAAACCATAGCTCTTCTTGAAAGGAAAAGAGACAAAACTGTTCTTCAAATTCTGCTTGAGGCTGCAGAGTTAGACAGGAAATATCGAGAACAAGTTTCAGATGCAGGTATTAGTCCGTACTGCACTGCAGGATTTGATGAACAAGTCATTATGGTGTCTGCCCTTGATGTACAATCTGCAGATGCTATCACCTTGGTTCGACAAAATCAAGCTTTGTTGTGCTGCTTTCTGGTCCAACGATTGCAAAGGGAGCAGCACTCAATGCATGAAATTCTTATGCAGTGCATGATATTTTTGTTGAATTCTGCTACCAAGCTATGCTGTGCTCCAGAACATGTGATTGACATTGCATTAGGATCTGCTGAGCACTTAAATGGGATGCTCAGATCCCTGTATTACCAGTTCAAAGATGGCAATCTGCGGTTGGAGCCGGAAACAATACATGGGATACAACGACGGTGGATACTTCTTCAAAGATTGGTAATTTCTTCAAGTGGTGGTGATGAGGAAGCAGACTTTGCAATCAATAAAAGTTGTTTTCGTTATGGAAATCTGATTCCACCTTCAGCCTGGATGCAGAGGATATCTACGTTTTCCAGATCCACATCCCCTCTTGTTCGATTTCTTGGTTGGATGGCAGTATCTCGTAATGCAAGACAGTACATGAATGATCAGCTTTTTCTTGCTTCGGATCTACCACAGCTGACGTACTTATTATCTGTATTTTCAGATGAACTTTCTTTAGTGGATAATGTTGTCAATCGAAAATATGAAGAATCAGGAGGCAACATTGTTTCTGCATCCATTAAAGGATTTAAAATTGATGATCAGCAACATCGGGACCAATCTTTTCGTGTCATCTATCCTTACCTCTCTAAGTTCTTTCCCAATATGAAAAAGCAATTTGAAGCTTTTGGAGAAACCATTTTGGAGGCTGTTGCACTGCAGTTGAGGTCCCTTTCTTCGAGTATGGTGCCTGATATTTTGTGTTGGTTCTCTGAGTTGTGTTCATGGCCATTTCTTTATACAGAGCAGCTTTCCGCACGAAACAGTAATGACAATTTGAAAGGTTATGTTTCAAAGAATGCCAAAGCAATCATCCTTTATACACTTGAAGCCATCATAACTGAGCACATGGAGGCAATGGTGCCTGAGATACCTAGAGTGGTGCAAGTGCTGGCATCCCTTTGTAGGGCATCTTACTGCGATGTATCATTTCTAGACTCTGTATTGCGTTTGTTGAAACCAATTATCTCGTATTCTTTATGTAAGGTGTGCGATGAGGAAAGGTCATTGGTTGATGATTCATGTGTTAATTTTGAGTCCTTATGCTTTGATGAGCTTTTCAATGACATCAAGCAGGCAGCAAATGAAGATAATTCTACAGAAAAAGTGTACAACAGAGGATTGACAATTTTCATTTTGGCGTCTGTCTTTCCTGATTTATCTGGTCAGAGTAGGAGGGAAATGCTGCAGTCCCTGATTTTTTGGGCCGATTTTACTGCCTTTGAGCCAACTTCTTCTTTCCACAATTACCTTTGTGCATTCCAGAGTGTTCTGGAAAGTTGCAAACTTCTGTTAGTTCAGACTTTACGATTCTTTGGTGCCATCCCACTGGAGCTGCCCACTGATGTATCAATTGGTAGTAGTTTGGAGTCACATTCGTGGTTCGTCAATGATGTCTACCCAAGCGCTGGTCAAGATAAGGTTTCTGAGAAGTTGAATGGTAATAATGTTGATGCTGATATTGCGAACAAAAGGGTCTATCATTTATTTCCCACGGAGATAGAAGAATTCTCAAAACACTTGGAGGTTCTCATTGATAAGCTTTACTCAACGACTGAGCTGTGTTGGAATCTTCATCATCAACTTTCTAAGAAGATTACTATTATAGCAACAGAGTGTCTTATGTACTCAAGATGCTTGACATCAATTGCAAAAAGAGTCAACAACGCTCAAGAAAATGACTCTGAAATTTCTTTCCCATCTACTTCAGCTGACCAGTTCCTTGATCATTGGAGGTATGGCTTAGAAGTAATTTCTGAGACCATTCTGACCCTTCAGAAAAACAGCTGCTGGGAAGTTGCATCTGTCATGCTTGATTGCCTACTTGCTGTGCCCCATAAGTTTGCCCTTAATAGTGTGATTGGGTCCATCTGTTCTGCAATAAAGAACAGTTCTTGCGATGCACCGAAAATTGCTTGGCGATTGCAAAGTGATAAATGGTTATTGATTATGCTTACTAGAGGTGTCCATTCCCTCAAGGAATGTGAGGTTCCTCTTGTTGATTTGTTCTGTACAATGCTGGGTCATCCTGAACCTGAGCAACGATCTATAGCGCTTAAGCTCTTGGGAAAGCTTGCTGGCCAAGATTTGAGTGGGGCAAGTGACCTTCAATCTTCCATGCTCTACAAAAATTTAGTTTCACCTGGTTTAGTTACATCTGTTCCCGAGTCAATAATCTCTCATTTGGTTTCAAGTACATGGGATCTGGTGGTTGTGCTGGCATCATCTGATGCATCATTACTTGTAAGGACTCGTGCGATGGCACTTCTTGTAGATTATATCCCATTTGCTGAGCGACGTCTGTTACAGTCATTTCTTGCGGCAACTGATAGTATTCATGGTTTGGGAGAGCTTTCCCGTTCTAGTTGTGAGGGCCCATCGCTGAGGCTTTCATTAGCACTGATTGCTGGTGCTTGTCTATACTGTCCAGATGAAGATATCTCTCTGATTCCTCAAAATGTTTGGAAGAATATTGAGACTCTAGCATTGTCAAAAACTGGTATCCACCTGCCACAATCTCTCTACTTTTTTTAATATCATCCCGGAGGTGTTTGGAGTGATTTTTTGTCTTTCCTTTTTACATTATGTATTTTATTTAATTTTTATCTTTAATTTCCTTTTGCTCCATCATTAGATGGCAGGTCTGGGGGTGTCGAGAAAAGGGCTTGCCAAGTCTTGTGTAGATTAAGAAATGAAGGGGATGAAGCTAAAGAGGTAGGTAATGGGAAAGTCTTGTTTATTGTTGTCACAGAAACATCTCAAAAACTTGGACTACCTGACCAACATTTTCCTTGGACATGGTTTTGTTTTATCAGTGATTTAAAATTATATTCATTTATTGAGTGAACCTCATTTTACATGTAAGGTACTGAGAGAAGTGTTATCTTCAAGCTCTTCAAAACAATTTGACCCAGATTTTGAAAGTACTCGTGAGTCTGTTCTTCAGGTAAGGAACATTTTAGAGATGATATGGTAAAATATAATTGACTTGCGCATAGTGATTGTTTGATGTTATTGTAATTTTGTTTGTATTGAAAAATCTTTGTTTGATCCCGTCCTCCAGAAAAGCTTAATCTAATAGGACGCATAAAAGATCCTGTAAAGGTTAAGTTCTTCTTGAGTAGTCATAAATATTTACTGTTTCAAGTACATCCAGAAATTTTACATCATAACCAAAATGCTGTACTATTCATTTATGGTTGTTGGAATTTAATAAAGCTAGGATTGCTTGTTAGAGGTCCTTGTCTTTCTTATCAAACAGAGCTGCAATGGGGTTGCATTCTGGTTTCATTACAAATGCATAGCATTTCATATCTATGTGTTGGTGGTATACTTGATCTTGTAGGATGTGTTGTTGTACTGATTTTTACTCATATTTTTGCTGTAAGTGTTTTGCTTTTTTTATCAATTTTAGGTTTGACTATCTTTGTTCTTGCAACCACTTTGAGCTTTAAAATCCTAAGCATATACTTTCAAACAGCAGTTGTATCTGTTATGGGTATCTATCCATACATCTCAAATGCTATCTGATAGGCATCCATCTGATATTTACTAAACATATTTGGCATTATCTCTTTACTTTGATAATGCTGGAGCACTTGAAACACATATGGGTTATTTTTGTCCTCAAATTAAGAAAAATAGGTCTTAGAATAAGAGGCTCAGTTGACCTACAGCCTTTACATCTTGTGAAAGCTAATAATAATTGTAATTTATCACAGGTCCTTGCCAGTTTAACTTCTGCAACATCGTACTTCAACATTTTCTCAAACAAAATTGACCAAGAAGTCATGGTGAGCCTTTATTAGAATAGATGCCTTTGTTATGTTGCAAACTTATAGATGTGGTTACATTATCTGTATATGTCATAGGAACTAGAGGAGGCTGAATTGGAATTGGATATTCTTCAGAAAGAACATGCATTACAAGAATCACCTAACGATTCTAAAGATGCACACCGGATTCCTTCTTTAAGCTGTAATTCTTTCATTCCCTAGATTTTCCGTTACTTTTTATTGCCTGTTTGAGAACTGTCATGCTCAATTTTTTTTTTCTTCGGAAATAGTTAACTTTCTGTTTTTCAGCTCCTCTGAAAGATGATGCACGGCTTCAGCAAATCAAGGATTGCATTCATTCCTTGTAAGTGATACAAATATTCTTGGTAGGCTCAGTTATTAGTAAAACTCACTGGAATGAGCAATCTTCACAACTTTTATTTTTGTCCAAAACATCAGCGAAATATCTAGATTTGAGGCATACCAGCACAGAAATGGAAGGATTCCAAAATCTGAATTTGGGCCAGCTCCGTGATATTATGTTTTATCTTAGATTTGTTTTTCCTCATCTTTTTTTTTCCCTTTCTTGAGAAACCCAACTACCAGCCAACAAATGTGCACCAACAAATGAGCACATGACATACCCAAGTCTAATTACCACTTACAACTCGTGCGCTGCTGAGATCCTCTTTAACCTCTATAGAATCACTATGAAGTGTACAGAAAATGGTTACTTTTGAGTTGCTATTGGCTGGTAACACAGACTAGTTTGCTCATTCAGGAGTCTTCGAGTTTACCTTTTATGCTCAGATTTTCAGTGCCTACTTTTTCTTGTTATTAACCTTTAGTAAAACTAACTGTCAAGTACTTCTACAAGGCCTTTTTGCCGAAACAAATGAGGCTCTTCTCCTAACAAAGGATCTACTAGCTCAAAGTTTGGTTGTCAAGATATTCTGAGTCAGTTTTTGAAATTCTTCAACAGGTGCCATTTGACCTAATCTTTAAGGCACCCAACTTTGATGGACGATGAGCACCAAATTTTAGAACAATCAAATCTTTTACACATAACAGCTAGTAAATCAGAAATAATCTTATACCAATTCTTCAACTATCGTCCCTTGGTTTTGGGAAGGTTTTCAGTTTCTTTGGCTGGGTGCTTGTTAGACTTCAAATTCATTTTTTATGGTCTTTGCTATCAGAGAAAAGTCCAGGCTACGTGAAGACATAGTCGCCCGCAGGCAGAAAAAACTTCTCATGAGACGTGACCGGCAGAAGTATTTGGAGGAGGCAGCTTTACGAGAAGCTGAGCTACTTCAAGAACTTGACAGGTGTTGCTTCCTGTCATCTTGTGTTATATTGTAGTTATTGCATGTTCGCTGTTACTACAACTAACATATGGACTAAATGTACCAGGGAGAGAGCAGCTGAAGTTGAAAAGGATATCGAGAGGCAGAGATTGCTAGAAATTGAGCGTGCAAAAACGAGGGAGCTGCGACAAAACCTCGAGATGGAGAAAGAAAGGCAAACACAGGTAATGCCCTAGCACCATTCAGTACTATGTTGATATGTGATAAAAACCCCTTCATTACTATCTTGATCTGTGAAATTTCAGTCAACATTTTTTTGGCTCTTTTGATATGCGATAAAAATCCTTTCAGTAAAACTGGCATCAGAAATGCTGTTACTCTTTGGGCTGTCTGTTGGATAATTGGCAGACTGGTAAATTCACGTGAAAAATTTGTTAGACCATTGTTCATGGTGGTCCTTGACTCTTAGTTCTATGTTGGCTTGAAAGTATCCCTTGTATTCTTATTACTTGTCTCATTAATTTGACCAAAGGACCATGAGGGCCAGGACGACTTGGACCTATAACTTTTTCTGCTATACCATACCCGATTAAATTATTAACTGATATACATTGGGTGATCATGCTTTCCCCTCCACTCCATATATTTACTGATCTATACACTGGAGTTTTCTATTAGTGCTTGCATTCCTCCATTTTTTCCCACCTTTACCTATCTTTACATGTTAGATGTGTCTATGTAGAGTCCTTTGGACAGGATGTTTTTTAGGTTTTAAGTCTCAAACTTTGGGTTCGGCCAATGCTGAAGCTTTAAAGCGCCACCCTAATCCTGTCAATAAATGAAATCAAGGTTGAATGAAATTGAGTATTACGTATGATTCTCTCCTCGTCTGTCATTCAAGAAAGAATAGACGCCTTGCAGAGAGAATCTTTGAATCTATTTGTGCATATGTATATAGCTGTGTATGTAGGCATGAACAAACTCGAGAATGAATTGAGTAAGATCTTTCGAAAGCATCCCTTGGAAATAAATGACTCAAATGAGAATCCATCCACTCTGTTTTTTATCTTAGGTTTCAAATTCTATTTTTAGAGAGCTGATAATTTGGCATCACTGGAAGTATCTGGTCATTCCAGTTTTCTGCCATTTGCAAGTCCTCTGATAAACATCATTTTTTGATAAATTTGTTAACATGGTGAGGGAACGGTCTTATGATTCAAGTTTGTTATATTGATTAAAAGGTGGAAGCACAATATTTGAAAGTAATAGGCCTTTTACTGAAGCAGTTTCTATAGCCTCTTGTTTGTGGGCTTTAGATATGTTTACATATAGTACTTTGGCTAAAAAAGGTTACATGCTAATATCTCGATACTTTCCATTTGGCAGAGAGAGCTTCAGCGTGAACTAGAACAGGCTGAAGCAGGAGTACGACCATCACGACGCGACTTCTCCTCTACTTACAGCAGGTGAGACTTCTATGCCATTTGTGGGACTGGTTTACGATCCTAAACTTTCATCCATGAATAGCTAGCGTATGTTAAAATATTTATTTAGCCAATGTAAAGGTGGAGGGCATGCCACTGAAAGTTTGAATAAAATATGAATTTTCTGTGTAGCTATCCTAAGTTGCATCTGTGGCGAATATCGGACATGGTTACTTTCTTTAATTTCTATAATTACCTCCAATTAGTTTTTTGAACTGGCATGTGTTCATTTGTGCTGTTTTCCTTGGTTTATTGTTGTGCATACATGTTTTGCTGCATCTTTTTTATATTCTGCATTTACTTCAGTTTAGACTCAGTTTGGTATTATTGATTTGCAGTCGGCCCCGAGATAGGTATCGTGAAAGAGAAAATGGAAGAGCGGGTAGTGACGGTAGCACAAGATCAAGTACCGGAAACTTGCAGCTCGAAACTTCAACTACCAGTTCTTCCATGGGGACCATGCCAACTGTGGTTCTGTCTGGGTCCCGGCAATTTTCAAGCCAGCCTACGATTTTACAATCACGTGATCGTCTGGATGATGGCGGCAGTGGTTATGAAGAAAATCTGGATGGAAGCAAGGACTCTGGTGACACGGGTAGTGTTGGAGATCCGGACTCGGTATCAGCATTTGACGGACAACCTGGTGGATATGGGTCAGGTCAGAGGCATGGTTCTAGGGGGAGCAAATCCAGGCAGGTAGTGGAGCGGAGGGAACGCGATGGTAGACGAGAAGGAAAATGGGAAAGGAAACATTTATGACTAACGGTTTCAGAATGAGTAAAATTGGGTTCTAGGCTACGATGCTCGAGCGTATGTACAGAAAGACGTGCAATGTACTAGGTCGTACTGTGATCTCCCTCAGGAAAAAACCATTACAAAGAGATTCTGAACACAGATTTTGAAAGGATGCTCTCGATTGGAGTCCCGACATGGTTGCTTGATGTGGTGGTAAAAACGGTGAAATTCTGATGAGGCCTTGTGTAACATTCCTGTACCTTAATTTGAAAACTTGTATTTTGTGTTTAGTGTCTTGCATATTTCGACAGAAATCATCTCAGCTCAGAATATGGAAAAATATTTCCTTTCTATAATTTAGAGACGCAGATGGCTAATCGGATGTGCTCTCTTGTATGCGCTTGAGTTCGATTTCACACACATCCCTGCCACTTTAACAGTGGCTCCTCAATCCATGAATTAACGAGCGAAAACATTTGCATCGTGTTGCTCCCATGAACACGAGAAAGACCTGAAAAGCTCACTTAGGGTTGTAATATCCCCCACAGACGGCCATCCAATTTGATTCGAAGCAGTCCTCTTCGGCGTTCATGTCTGTCACTTACCCCTTTCGCAACCATTTTCAAAAGGACAGCGAAATACGAGTTCATATGCAAACAGTAAGCCCTCTTTTGCTGCCGGAATCGTTCTGGCACTAATAAAGACTTGAATTTGTTTTGGACATCCAACCATACACTCCCCTTTCTCATTTCTTGTAACAGCTCGCACTGCCCTCGTCGCTCTACCCTCTCTGAACCACCCCACCGACGTTTAACTTTGTACACTCGGAGGAGGAGGCAACCATTTGGCAGCTGACATAATAGGAACAGGAATTGTAGGATGCGTTTCATTGATCACCTTGAAATCTCCCAGCAGTCTCTCTGCCTCAGCCAACAGTCATCACCTTCGAATTTGCGTTATTGAAAAAAAGAGTCATTCCCCTCTGCCAGAGAGCCCAACACAGATGCAGATAAATCCAATTCCTCCCCAGTAGAAGCCTGTACTACCGCATTCCGAAGCTCCGTGCAGGAAAGCCGTCCACCAGTCCTGACGTTGCTCCAAGATTTTGCAATAAAAAGTTTGTTTTTATTCGAAGGAAAGTAGGTATTTATCGACTCGGAGGTTGATCATGGTTATGGTTACATGAGGACTAAGAAACAATTGAATCTCACACAAACGTTGGGAAGAGTTCACTCCACGGTGTTTAACCATCAAATGCCATTAGTTAGCATTGGTAAACCAGATGGAGCATTCCTCCATGCTGCATTATTGACAACATTTCGTAACACTGTTCAGTTTCACACATATCGTGATGTTGATCTAATGGCTACTGGGGACCAATCAGGATGCATTGCTTTGAGTAGAGCACAATGCCTGAGACTTGAGGAGTCGACAGCGATGTTCCTGAGTACTTGGCATATATATCCCCCAGCCGCGTAGATGCCAAGAGGAGAAAATGCAGCTAAGATGCATTTTGAAGGTTTATGTGAAGGTGATGGCAAATGCCTACACGGTATATGCCAAGAGGAGAAATCACAGAACTTAATATCAAGCTCAGCTCTTGTAAAACTGAGAAGCCTGACTAACAGATATGCACACTACAATCTTTGCATTATTGAACCCGAGAGTTATGAGGAAGCATGTGAAGTCTAACTTTTATGTTTGGTTTTCCTTGTTAATATCGTAATTCCACACATGCTCCAATTAGTTTTTAGAATATTTCCTTAAGGGTTTTTGCTGTTGGGAATAACCGAATAAGTGTTCAAGGCTATGACACATCACCTCAAAATTTTATTCATGCACATGCATTTCATGTTTAACTTATTGATGCATTTCGACTAGTGAGATTATCTCGTCAGAAATTCTCGCTACTGTCCAGCTAGTTGGGCACACAATTTAAGACAGCCTATATGGGCTGATTGACACCTTTTATACGAGATTGAGCTTTTCACCATTGATCTGCTCAAATTGCTTGTACATTTGACAAGTGTCTCTTTGTACCTTGTTTGTAGCAATCAATGGTTTTGTTTTAATAGGGTTAGAAGATTTCATTTCCTCTTCAAAAAGAAATTTACAATTTTTAGAGGGTTGGTTTTTCATCTCCATCTCAAATCTCCCTAGGAGCATCAAGCATTTTTTCTGGGTCATATTCTTCTTGGAATATTTATTAATCTATCTCTAAAAAAGCTTGTTTAAATTTTCTTATATGCTCAATTGTTTTGGCTGGGAAATTTTACATTTTCAAAGAGTGTTTTTAAAACCTTGGGTTGCCTCTTGTGTTCTTCATTAGAAACTCTAGCCACAAAACCATGATCATGCATTATACACACAATCATTGCATAATAGGGTTGCATTGTTCTTCATGGTTTGACATTAAATTTGTGGTCAAGTTTTTCAAGTTTCAAATCTACTTATTGACTAGTTTTTGGATTCTCGTAAGTTTTTTCTTTTAACTGCTTGACTTAGGAAATTGACTAGTCATTGAATCCAGATTGCACACTATCACAACATGTGCATTTTTTGGTGTCGATCTCAATGACTCAAGATGAAGAGTTCAGGAGGAGCTGCCATCTTGTGTAGATTAGAAACGACTCCATTTCAGTGCCACAAGGTGAAGAGTTTAGGAAGAGCTGCCACTTTGTGAAGACTGAAGAAATCCTCATCTCGTGTAAGGCAAGGTTTCACATAGGTATAAGCTGCTCTGTAGATTAGGATCTAGGAATTGAGCTTGTGTGGATACTTTGCATGAATCTTGTTTACACTAGTGGATTGGACTCAGTGGAGAGTCCATGATTTTTTAACCCAGAGGTGGATTTTTTTGGCCAAAAACTTATGGCGTTCTTTTCTCTTAAACTTGCTCACATATCTATTTACTAGTATATGTTTCATGCATCCTGAGTTGTTAATTAATATGTGTTTGTGACTATGTTTACACTGCATATTATGAGCGATGAACTGAATTGTTATTGAATAGAATATCTTGTAGTGAACTAAGTTTTATTCGTAGATTTGCATTTGGTTAACTGATGAATCTATACTTAGTTGACTGAAAAGCTTGACTAGTCAATCCAGCATACCTTAATTCATAATTGCTTTGTTATTGTTGTTTGCATAATGAACTGATATGTAAATGTTTAAGTTTAGGATTTGGTGTTGTGAAACTGATCTGGGCAAACTTTGATTTGTTAGATGTACTGGTCAACCAGGATCTATTCTTGCAACTGTACTTTCTATCATTGACTAACTTGTAACTAGTTGACCAGCTCATTTGGCTAGTATAATGTGCAAAGTTAAGTTTATTTGTAGAATATTCCGTCTGGTACCAATTTCAATTGGTATCAAATCCTTGCTCTAGATATACATATAATGATCTCTGGGAGTTATTGGTATTGGGTGGAATCTCATTATGGATTGTGACTGATTTACTGGTTCATCTAGCTCTTCTTCCTTATTCAATGTAATGAATTACGCTGCTTAGAGTAAGAAGTTTCAAATCTTCTTGGATGCTCAGGGTTTGATTGCCCTTGATTCTCTTACTCTTGATATAAAAGATGTAGATTGGAAAAAAGGGAAGGATATTGCTTTCCAAATGGTTCAAAAAGCTAAAGTTGATGTGAGATTAAAAGATCTATCTCTTGAAGAGGATTTGACTTTGCTTGTCAAAAAATTTAGAAGGATTCTCGAGAACAAAGGAAGAGATGTCAAAAGGAGTTTCAATCACAAGAAAAGAAGTATTTTGACAACAAGAAGGCAAAACTTTTCAATCTTAAAGACATCATCTCCGAGTGAGCTTGGACCGTGCTTCACTTGTGGTGGAGTTGATCATCGTGCTGATGTATGTGCCTATAGCTTTGAAAGACTAGTTTACGGTGGAGATAAAGCTGACACACAACCTTCAAGTGATTGTGAGAGTAATCACTCTCAATAATCTAAACAATCATCTGATAATGATTGTTGCACTTGTTGCTTCGGTGGAAGAAGGCCAACTTAGTGTTGATGAACTTTTATCAAAGAATGACTCACTTTTTGATGAGACTTGTGTTGCTAAAGTGGATAATGTTGAGCTGTCCAGAAAAGTCTCTGAGCCACATAAAGAAAATGAGTCACTCCAACTTGTCAGAATGGAACTAGGTGAAAATGTTATTTCTCTTGGGGCTCAAGTTATGTTTCTAAATGGAAGGGGCCCTGCTTATGATGACAGAGAAGAAAATGATGAACTTGTTGCTGCCATTGAAGCTCAATTTCAGGACTTACAGAAATCTCAAGAAAACATGCTAAATCAAGTCCATGTATTAACGACCAACAATCTAATGTAACATAAGACTAACTTGATGCAGTTAATTGAATTGAATGAAGCTAACAACATGGTCACTCAACTGACTATTAGAGTTGAAAAGGTTGAAAAAAAAATGATGAGTGTTGGGAAGCCATATGTTGATAAAAATGGTATTGATTCTATTGAAAGTACTTCAACCTTCGTGGTTACCAAGACATAGTGTAAAGGAATAAAAGCTTTTGGCAACTGAAGTCAATCCTAGTCCAGTGAGAAGATTATTTCCTACATGTCATCGTTGTGATGAAGTGAGTCATATTCAACCAAAGTGTTGGCTGCTTTAAAATGGAAAGAATGACACCTTGAAAGGTCAGTTTGATTGAATGGTAATTGAAGCTAACACAATTTCACAACTTGTTCAATCATCTAGTTCGAATCATGTGAAGCCAAGCTCTAAATGGATCAAGAAAGTTTGTGATAAATGTTGTGTGATATTCAACGCAATTTTAGTTACCAAACTGAATGTGTGGCATTTTGACAGTGAGTGTTCTTGTCATATAACCAGAGAAAAAGATGTTTTCTTGTCTTCCCAAGGTCCAAAGACAAATGCTACATCCTTGATGCTTCTAAAATTGGTAAATCTTCAATGTTTGACCAAGCAATTGATGAAACGAGTGTGTTGTTTCATAGACAACTTGGTCATGTGAACATCAAGGATCTACAAAGATTATCCAAGAAAAAGGTTGTTAGGGGCTATGTTTGTGGATCATGGTTTTTGGGGAAACAAACTAAGGTGTCCATTAAGGAATTGTCTAACTTTGGAACATCCATGCCTCTTCAAGTAATACATATGAATTTCGTTGGTCTAATTTTGCCTCCATCTTTCAATGGGAATAATTTATGTTTGCTAATTGTGGATGACTACTTTATGTTCACCTGGGTGTGCGTTTTGAGAGAAAAATCTAACACTTGACATCA